GATCAGCCTGCCTGTTCACAACATGCAGGACAGGAAGTGAAGAAGGTAAAGCATATGTGTAAAACATTTACTCTCAAAGAATATAGGGATACGCTTTGCTCACAAATATAAAAAGAGACGTACCATCAGGAGGTTATTCACTTTAAGCATTAGAATCCAAACTTATCGTCTACACCTTTTATTTTACCGGCTCTCAGTTTACTTACACATCAATACAAATCCAGCTTTAGACAAGGAGAAAAAAAGCTGAACAAAAAAGTAAACCAAGACATTGTACAAAATTGTTTCAATCTTTATGTATGACTCATATTTTATTATTTTATTCATTTATTGTATGATTTTTTCTTTGCTTTGTCTAGATTAGTATTATACATTTTATGTCTTTAAATGTGTGCAATATTTGTTTTAAGAAACTGGCTTCTAGTAAGATTATCAGAGTCAGGTTTACATAAAAGCTATTCGTTCTGGTATATTGGTACATATGCACTTAGTAGGTATTATAAACAAAAGATTGAAACATAAATATAGAGTAGAATACAAAACAAATTCACAACACAAACATATTGACATTACTGTCACATAATTAGTCATTTAGAGTGGAGATGCTGTGCAGTTTTTTTTTGAAGAAGTAGTTCTGTGCGGAAATGTGCGAAAGTATCCAAATAGTGTTCAAATAAATTACCTTCTGCACGTTTGAAGAGAGGCAGTCTGGGCAGGAGGAGAGTCCTCTTGGTATAAATAACATGTGTCTGAAATAAATAACAACAATCAGAAGAAGAATAAAATCTGCAACCACTGGAAAGTGACATTCACAATAACACAGTGAAGGTTCTTTAAAATGAAAAACTGGCAATTAAACAAATAACTTACCTGGTTCTTCAGGGTCGTTAAGACCCTGTTGGAATAAAGAAGTGCTGATTTTAAAGAAGCCATTCTCAGTAAAATACTAATGCAAATATGTTTTTAAATGGTCCGACTACATAACAGCTATCCTACATAATGATCAGAAGGGGGACCGCTTATGGTGTTACCCTTTCCGGTTTGTGACGCTCCGCCCCGGCGTGTTGACCACATGTTTCAGAAATGTGTTGATATTTTCTGAGAAGAAGCTCTGTTTGTATTCTGTCTGTTTGGATCATCTCAGACAGCTTCACGGTTCTTCCATCATGATGGACCTCGCCGCTAAAGACTCGTACATGCAGAAGTTTGCGAAGAAAGTGTTTTTTCAGCAAGAGCAGGAGCCGAAAAAAAGACCGTTTGGTAACGTTTTACCGTATTTACAAAATAACGTGGATATAATACTTGCCTATAAGTTAACTGTATTTATTATCGGCGGTTTATAGTGTATGTGTTATTGGTGGTAGAAAATGGCTTATAAAGTGTCATTAAACATGCGGTTATTACTGCATGTGACCAGAGGAGGCGCTGCACTGTGTGGAGAACAACGAGTGGAGTTCTATTGTTGAATGCTTATTTATTTTAATCCATAAATGTAATTCTTTTTGATGTTTTTATGAGAGAACAAGCACTCTGCTGCAAATCAGTGGAATAAATAATACAGCAAAAATGCTAATAGTGAGAAAATGACCTTTAGCTTATTGCTTTAATGTTATTAATTTGTTGCAATTCTGTTGACATTGTTTGTCCCTTTTGATTCCATGATGATATTTACAGTCAAGACAATTTAAGTATTTCTACTAAATAAATAGACTACTGTTTTTGAAATGATTATAACATTTTGGTCATTTACCAAGCACAACATTGCATTCTCCTTTCTTTGCTTCATAAATGCATTTATGTTGCTGCTTTCCATTGGTTGTCATGTATTCAGAATATGAATTTAAGGAATTAGTTGTAGTGCACAACTGAAGGCATTTTTTAAACATCATACAAAATCTCTTAGATAATATCATGTAAAATGCTACAGCTAGATTGATGACTTTCTGAAACTAAGTTTCCGCCACTAAATCAGCTGACTTTGATATTTGTCTTTTAGAGAATAGGGAATTAAGATAAATATGATCTATTTCCTTTTGGTTCACAGAAAAGCTTCTGACTTGTTCAGTTTCAGTGCAATGCCTAAGCATGTTGAAGCTCCTAGTCTGTTCATGTAAGAAACTCCAGAGCTGTGGCAGTCCAGCTGACATCATGTTGAATACATGTGATCATTAATGCATGTTTTATCTCTGTGTAGCTCCTTTCAAGGGTAAAAGCGAGACTGGTCCTCCAAAGAAGAAGAAGAGTTTTAAAGATGTGAAGAAGCCTCATCCCAAATCCCCCAAAAAGCCCTCTCCTTCAGCGGCTGCTCAGAAAGGCCCCCCCGCCACAAAACAGCCAAAAACTCAAATAAACGGATCAACAAAACCAGCGCCTAAAGGTACCGCAAGTGAATCCATTACTCTGTTACTTTTTGTTATTTCAAAATTCTTAGTCACCTATTTAGTTTTCTCTTAAAGGAGGAAAGGTACCGTCCAACTTCTCCACCGTCGATGTTTTACGCAAGAGACTTCATGAAAAAATCGAGGAGTCCAGAGGACAGGTATGCAGATTTAAAGAGGATTTATTTATTCAAGATTTGAATGACATTACTCATTAGCATTTATCTAATACAGTGCTTCTCAAAGTGTGGTCCACGGACCACTGGTGGTCCGTGATCACCCCTAGTGGTCCGTGACTATATTGGTAAAATGTCACATTTTAAATAAATAAATAAATGTAAGTTTTCCGCACTCTCGCGGGAATATCTCCGCAATGGAGCGAGCTTAAGTTTCGATTGCATGATATAGCCCAGCGCAACACCTACGTCACACATGTTGCCACCTGTTTGTACCATTTTCATGCGATTTGTAATCTGTTCTAGAAAAACGATGTGTTTTTGGTTATTTGTGGAGTCAGGTGGTCCGTGAGTGTTTTTTTATTGGTTAAGTGGTCCTTGGTGTGAAAAAGTTTGAGAAACACTGATCTAATACGATGTGACTTTAGCTGAGACGGTAAACTCAACTGCAGCCATGGTATTAAAACCTGTAAACAAGGCTATTTACCTAAAAGATGATTATTGAACAGTTGATTCAACGTTTACCGCTCAAACCGATGCTGTTATGTGCCCATCTGGCCAGAGATCTATTCACAATGGGAGCATGTTCCCCTTTTCATCTTCTCACTAGTTTATCGTTGGTGCTGTTCAGTTCAACATGTGGATGACGGAATAAATGATTATATCTTTAACTCAATTGAAAGTAGCAATACTGCTCTGTATAAATATTGTGTCATTTTGCAGGATTTCACTTGTTTAAAAAGCAAAGTGTACTTAAAGTAAAAGTAGTTAAATCCGAATGATTCTTCTCAGACCTATATTCTTATATCATATTATTGGCCTCTTGATTCTAAGTAAGTAGGACTTCCATTTCATGTCTGATAGTTCGTTTTTTAGCACAGTATCATATTTTTGAGGTTTGTCTTAAGTTTTAATGTCAAATCTTAATATGTTAAGTAACTCCAACTATCAGATACACTGTATACAGTAGCAACACATGTAAAAGTAGCTCAAAATGTAATGCAAGTACAGCACTGGACTGAATACTGTGCAACGCTTAAGAGAAATGTCTGTCTGACTAACAAGTTGCACTTTTTTCTTATCAGGGAACCCCGAAGAACGCACTCTCTGAGGCCGTGCTGGCAAAGCGAGCAAAACGAAAGATAGAACGGGAGCGCAAGAAGAGGAAGAGGAAAGAGTTTATCCTGAAGAAGAAACTGGCAGAAGAGAATAGCCAAGAAGCGTCAGTGGAGATCAAGAAAGAACCTGAGCCTGCCCCCGCTGCGAACAAAAGAGATGTAACGGCCCTCGTCTTCAACAAGGTGGAGACGGTAGAGGAGGAGTACGTGGACAAAATACAGAAGAAGAAGCAGAAGAAGCAGAGCGTGAAGGGCCAGATAACTCCCCTGCTGGGGAAAAACTACAAGCAGCTGCTTGGCCGTGTCCAGGCTCAAAAAGCAAAAGTGAGCGAGCTGAGGGAAAAGGACGAGGACAAGGCCAAAGAAATGGAGAACAAGATCAAGTGGACCAACGTGCTCTACAAGGCCGAAGGACTCAAAATTAAGGACGACGAGGACATGCTGCGCTCCTCGCTAAAGAAGAAGGAGAAGAGGGGCGCCAAGATAAAGAAGGACTGGGGCGATCGAAGCGAGAACGTCGTGGGGAAGATGCAGAAGCGGCAGGACAAGAGACGGAAGAACATCCAGAAACAGAAGAAGGCCAAAACAGAGAAGACGAAGGACAGATTGAGGAAGAGAGGCAGGGTGCTGCCGGAGGACTTGAAATGAGCAGCAGCAGCGTGCTGTTTCATCACGACATAGGTTTAAATAAGTACATCTCTTTCTATAGCCGTACGATTTATTGACATGATATACAAATGTATTGTTCCTTCATTCCTGTAAAGGTAATGTGATGTGTGTTGTGGTCAATAAAATGTGATCTTCACAAGATGGACATGAATGAAAACATTTTAGAATTGTTTTTTTCTTGTTGCTCAATATCAAACCTGCTGGTATTTTTTAGTAGCTTGACATTTTGGAAGATGTGGTTTTTTACTTTTATTCAGATGAGAATTTATTCTTCTATCCTCAAAGATCGGTATATATTTTTTGGGAAAAGAAAACTATTATTACTGAAAATAAATCAAAACTGTTCCTCTTTTGTCTTTTTGACAGCAGCATTAAAGAAAAAGTCAACTACAAATACAAAATATTGAAAATGTATACTTTTATAAGTAATTAAGAACAGTCTAATTACATGGGTTAAATCAATTCAGAGTCAATGAATGCACCTTTTTGCACAAACTATATATATATTATGTTTATTTATACATTCTATCTGCTTATTTTCTTTTTTATTCTTTTTTTTTTCAATTTATAGATTTTAAATATTTGTATGTTAAATTGTGGCGTCTGCCATTACTGCCATGGGATTACTACTGCGCACACTGGAGTTACATCCGGGTTACTGCTCGTTGACGTCTCGCCCCGCCCATCCAGGAAGTAGAAATGAAAACATAAGGAGGGGAGGAGGTCATTATTTCACTTCTTCTCCCGCTTACTAGTAAGTTATTTCACTTAAAAGTAAATGTCCACAGGGAGAATGTGCTCATTTGGAAACCTGTGTTAATGCATTGGATTATTTTCTAGTTGTCTGTTCCAGTTCAGTTAAAGACATGTTCAGTTTCAGGTGCACAAAGCGAATGATAAATGTCCCTTTATTACAGATCATCATGTCACGAAGGATTCATGCACGAAGAACAGAAGGCGTCGATAAAAACGTTTGGTAAGTTATAATAATGGGTTTTCATTTGAATAATGAATACAAATCTCTGCTCAGAAAGACTATAAACCAAACCGTGGTCACGTGGTTTGACTATAATAACTTTAATATATAATATATAATGTTGTTGGTGGAACATGGGGGTGTTAATAGTGACAGCCTGGTTCAAGTCCTTTAGAAATGATTAACACATTTATGGTTCCATGCATTCAAACATGGGACACAAACCTGTGGTGTAATATCAAGTTAATAAGTAACAGCTGATAACTGGGGTGTGTTCCAAAGTGCAATACAAAATAATCATTCATTAATACAGCTTATTATTTGACATATCAGAAATCAGATAATACATATATTTTTTTAACCTAAAGTGAAACCAAAACGATTTGAAAAATCCGCATTGTTTGTACTTTTAGGAACTGAGTCAATATTTTAACCCAGATACAAATGGATTTTTACAACAAAAAAACATTATCAAGCATTTGTTATTATTATTTTACTTACTTTTTGGTACATTTATTGTTTAAAGGTCCCATTACATGGTCATTTCTACTGATCATATTTCCATTGTTGAGGTCTACTAGAATAGATTTAAATTGTGCAATGTTCCAAAATCACATTGGTTTCTCACACAGCATCTCTGTATAGTATGTGTATTCACTCTCTGTCCTAAACGGCTTGTTGGAGCTCCTGCCCCCCCCCCCCCCCCTCTCCCTGTGAGCCCAGTGTGCTCTGATTGGTTGGGACGTTGCGAGGCTCGCTGGTGCGATACAGCCAGACACAGCTAAACTCATCCTGAGCACACAAACACTCACAGCCGAAGTAAAAACAATAAGTGTGGCTTGATATTGAGAAAGAAAAAGGTTGATAACGCTGTGAGAATGGGTCTGCTGTGGAGAGCATTTCTCCGCTATCCTAACTCGTCTATTACCAGCGTTCAGGGAGCTCTATGCAAGTCAATGGGACTCCCTGTTAGTTAGCCAAGGGATCCTGGTGTGTGAGGTGCTCCGCGGATTGGTCCATTTGGGCCAATCCGGTCATTTGTTGTTGATGTGGGAGTTCACACGTCACAGAACCCAGGAAGCAAACAATGGAAAAAGAGAAATGTCCAACGAGGCATTCTGGGGCAGCACAGACAGGTCTTCTCTGTGTTAGAGTTTTACTCCCTACAAGGTGTACTTTGAGGGTTTGAGACTCTGCAGACCGTTTACATGCAGAAAAACCTTCATAACACAAGGGGACGGGTAATAACCGGAAAAGCATGACATGGGACCTTTAATATTGAAATGTAATGAAATAAGTATCCTTTGTTTACATTTTGTTTATTTATATTGTATATTTGATAGAAAGACTTCATCGGTATAATTCTGTACATAACATTTTCTGTTTATATTTATTTTCTACTGTTGATGTGTATTTATTTACTGTTTGTTTATTTTCTATTTTATTCTATTTTGTATTCATGTGTAATGCTTTGTTAACATGCTTCTATGACCAACACAATAAATAAATAATCTAAAATGGTTGCAGGTAGCTCATAAGGCAGAGAACATGATATAACTTAGACATGATTGGTGGTAATATACCTGAGGTATTTGATTGAATCGATCATTCCATTCACCACACCACTGTGTGTTATCCTTCACACCAACAGGGTTGAATTCACTCAGCTGGCTGCAGATTACAAAGCAGTGAACCTCGGTCAGGGCTTTCCTGACTTCTCCCCTCCCAAATTCGTCCAGGAGGCTTTTTGTGATGCTGTGAACGGAGGACCGCAGATGCACCAGTACACCCGAGCGTTTGTACGATCAAACACACACCAAGAACACTTTACCTTGTCAAAACCAGAAAATGGTTCTTGAGTTTACTTCACTGATATTAAAGTCATGTTTTTATTCTCCTCAGGGACATCCTCGTCTTGTGCAAAGTCTGGCTACATTCTTCAGTAGGGTTACGGGACATGAGATCGATCCTCTGGAAGACGTGCTGGTCACAGTGGGAGCTTATCAGGCTCTCTTCTGTGCGTTCCAAGCTCTCATCGATGAAGGGGATGAGGTAGGAAAACTACAACAGTGGAACAAAGTTTGCACATTTACGCTTTACTTATTAAAGAGTCTTTGCTGTATTTCTCCTTTTAATTGGCAGAAAAGGGAAAAATAATTATACATATTTGGCAACACTTTATTCTAACTCCTCCTATCTAGCATTTAGAGGCTGCACAAAACATTGAATGAACACCCCATAATGTACCTTTTAGCAGATATCTTATCTGATATTTAGTAATGTAGTATACAGCTCTGAAGTTTCTCTGGTTTTACTATTTATAGGTACCGGTATGTGTTTGAGTAAAATGAGCCATTTTTTATTATATTCTATAAACTACCGACAACATTTCACTGTGTTGGAATTCAACAGACACTGGAATGGAATGGCTGCCATACATGTACAGATTGCACACTATCAAAATGATGGGGATGAATTTCAGCCCAAGTCAAGTCGTAATGTTGTCCCAGGCAGCAGCCGTAATTAGCACAGGTTAAAAGATACTTACAGTTAAAGAAAAACTAATGCCATTAGCCACATGTGTTTTCTTTCTCACAGTAGATTATGTGTGTTTCACTGTTGATAAAAAACTGATTGTGTTTCAGGTTATTATTGTTGAGCCGTTCTTCGACTGCTACCAGCCGATGGTGAAGATGGTCGGGGGAAAGGAAGTGTATGTTCCTCTGAGGCCGGTGAGTGGGTGAGGCAACCTCGCCCACGTTTGGAGTCCTTTTATGTTCACCATCTCTTAAGGTTTTGCTTAAGACTTTACTTTAGAGACTTGCCTTTATTTCTTAAAAATGTGACGTTAAACACTGGGGTACATGGGGACGCCCCAATGGTGTTCATTCTGGCATGTGAACATTACACGGAGACATTAAGATCATGGTGCATTAAAAACACATGAAATCTGTGGAAATAATGATTAAGCTATATTACACTAGCTTAATCATCAACCTTGTTTAAATGTTGTTCATGATGCTGCTTTGAGTGAAAGGATTACATTGATTATTTGACACTGAGGAAACACCCTGGGAGGAGTTCAAATCACGCACTAAAGAATGTCAAATCCTCTTGGCCAATGGCTTTTTTTTAAACTTTTTTTATAATAATTGTTGCAAAGAGACGCATTAGCGCAGGACATAAGTATGGAACCTATATTAGATATCAACAAAAAGCATACTTAAAACCAACAATTGTACATACCATCCTGTCTCTGAGCCTTACCCACATTGGGTTTGTGCCTTTGTATATTTGCAAAATAAAATGTAATAGATTTTATTTTGTTAATTTTCAGAAAGTGGAAGGAAGCCTGTCCAGTGCGGACTGGACTCTCTCTGCTGAGGAGCTGGCCAGTAAATTCACTCCACGCACAAAAGCCATTGTCATCAACACTCCCAACAACCCACTGGGCAAGGCAAGATATTTACATGTGTACTGTCTGAATCAAAGAATTAAAGCCAGCTGAAGAAAAATAAAATGTGATCTTTTGCATAATAAACACATTACAGGTTTACAAGACTGAAGAGCTCCAAATGATCGCTGATCTGTGCATCAAACATGACGTTCTGTGCATCAGTGACGAGGTGTACGAGTGGCTGACTTATGATGGAAACAAGCACGTAAAGATAGGTGAGATACAGTCAGAAGCTAACAAAATGCACACAAAGCATAACGCTGCATTATTATTTGTATTAACTATGTTATTGACAGCCAGCCTCCCCGGCATGTGGGAACGAACCATCACCATCGGCAGTGGAGGAAAAACCTTCAGTGCTACTGGCTGGAAGGTAACCCCTTTAAAATATTGAATTATTTAATAATCTATAAAGGAAGCTATGTTTTCTTTGTTTGTCAGCCGCATTAAGAAAAAAACGCTGTTCCGATTTTTTTGAAATAAAGTGTAAGGGCCCAGGAATACGTCATTGACATTTCTCAGTGGATTCACAAATAGAAACGAAAAAACACGTTCTTCTTTTAGTCACACAGTGTTATCATAACTTGTTTTTCCTCTCAGGTTGGCTGGGTCATCAGCTCGGGGCATATCATCAAACACATGAAAACCATCTTCCAGAACTGTGTGTACCACTGTCCTACAGCCGCTCAGGTACATAATTACATAATGCCTGGAGCATTTTAGAAACGTTTGTAAAAATACAACTTGGATTCAGAAGAGGCCCCACATACGGTTAGAAATGTGGGTTCTGTACTTACGGATTGTTCAGCATTGGTGGGCAATTAAAGAGATAGTTCAGGATAGGGATGGATAAGGTGATTGTGGACAATTTACATTATCGGGATAGTCGCTGGATGAGGGCCTTGAAAATTCTGTGTAGTTTGGGAAAAATAGATACGATTTAAAAAAAAAAAAAAAAAGCATTTCAAGAAGAAATACAATTTAAATCAATGAATGAATGTATCCTATTTATTGTGATTTATGATTATCTTATTAAAGTTTGTTTGATTGATTGATTTAAAGAGATGTTTCCTAAAAAATATGTGTCCTATATGCACCAGGGAAACTCATCTTTTATCCCGTTCTGCTCGTTTCTTCTCCTCTTCTTCTCCAGGAGGCAGTAGCTCGTGGATTTGAGAGGGAGTACGAGCTGTTTGGCTCTCCGGAGAGCTACTTCCAGCAGCTGCCTGCCATGCTGCACCACCGCAGGGGGAAGCTGGCCTCCTGCCTGCAGAGCGTGGGTCTGCAGCCCATCATGCCGGAGGGGGGGTACTTCATGATCGCAGACATCTCCTCCGTCAGTGAGTGGAGGACAGACATCCAGCACTGCTTCAACTGAAGTAACATTTAACGTCTCTTCTTTCATTAGGGCTGCCTGATTTAAGTTGACCTCTTTCTTTTTCACAGAGGTGGACTTTAATGATGACAGCACTAAGGATGAATCCTATGACTACAGATTTGTAAAGTGGCTAACTAAAGAGAAGGTAAATTATAAGCATTTTATTCATACTTTTTTATTTATCTCGGATTAATGCATTCCCTCTTAAAGCTGTTACTGTGTTATTGTTTGTTTTAAAAGCATGTTTGTCTGACATTACTCTAGTTGTCTGATGATGTACATAGAATATTTGCTAATTTATGTTGATTTTATTTCAACTCATTTTTGGAAGCTATAACACAAGTTTTGGATTTTGTTTTGAAAGAATAAGGATTGGATTAGTGTTTTTGTATAGTATTTGTATGATGCATTTAGGATATTGTGCTGAATATGTGGTGCTTTGACTGTATGATTTTAATTTGTCCTGCAGGGTTTAGCAACAATCCCTGTCTCCGCTTTCTACAGCCCAGAGCACGGAAAGGAGTTTGACAAATACGTCAGATTCTGTTTCGTCAAGGTAAATGTAACCTAAATACCTGAAATGAATGTAATTCTTCTCCTGTCTCGCTCTTTGACTAACACGTCCTCATTTCTGTCTAACAGGAGGAAGCCACCCTGGATGCAGCAGAGCAAATCTTGAGAAAGTGGAGTCAGGGAAAGTTAAATGTCTAAAATAAGAAGCATTACCCGTCCATTACAGATTTCCCTGCTTAAAACCGGGTTGGGTTTCTTCACAACAAAATGAGCCATTTTCAGTGTTTGTTTGTGTTTATGTCAACATATGTACTTTAAACCATGTCCAGCTCTATTGTGTCCTTATACTGCAAGACACCCAGGTTTTAGAAGGGGAAACAATTATTCTGAATGTTCTTGCTAGGTTAATTTAAGCAGAAATAATTTTTATTAAATGTTGCTCAAAGTTTGACTCAAGTTTCTCAGAGTTCATCAGAAGTCGTCCACAGATGATTAAAGCACAATTGAAGATAATCATGTCATGAAGAGTGTGTGGACAAAATGTGTGGTGAAGATAAGTGACACAGGTGGACTTTTGACTCCTGAGCTGCAATTTAGTTTATAGATAACTATCACATGTAATCAGCCTGTCCGTGAACTGCTCCCTATGGTGGCAACCTTTCTGTATTTTATTAAAGATGAAAGAAAACAGTCTTTGTTCACAATGTGGAAGAAAACATAAAACATTGTTGTCCGACTTTTCCACTAGTCGATCTGTTGAATATATTTGTATTTTCAGCAAAAAACTACAAAAGATATTTCAATATTTAATTGTATAGAGTTGCAATGTATCCAAGTATCCAAAAGGTTTAATAAAGGTTTGAATGAATCCACATCTTCTCCCTTGCAGTCAGTGCCACAGTGACGCATCCTAAAACCTGGAAGTAAGTTAGCATTTGACCACTTCCGGTTCCTTCGACAAAAACCAATGCAATTTCTCCATAGGATTTTGGAAAATAGCTCGAAATAAGGTCTGTGGTTGACACAAAGTGAAGAGACAGATCACGTTTTGTTCAACCGGATAATATCCACATGTCTACCCTACTTTTATAATTTTCGAATCCTAAATCTTATCGATAGATTTATAATTATGAAATTGCATTGGTTTTTGTCGAAGGAACCGGAAGTGGTCAAATGAACCGGAAAGAGTTTACTTCTGGGTTTTAGGACACGTCACTGTGGCACTCTATACATGTTTCAACGGAAGAACATGTTAATTACATGTAGTTAATTTTTTGTACACAAGTCTTGTCTTTTTTATTGAAAAATAGTTCCTAATCTCAATGAGACTACCTTGAGAATCAATAATAATAATAATGACGTTCAAGTATTTACATTTTAATTGAAAACGATTACATATTGTTGGGTCTTAATTGTGGTATAACAAATTAAACTAGAGAATGCAATTCCTGAATACATTGCTAGTGGGAATGCTTTATGCCGAAAAGCTGACGCTAAACTGCTATGCTGAAATGTAATGTGTAAGAAGAAAGTGAAGAATTTAGATTGAAATGATACATGAAGACTGGGGGCTTGAATGATGAGAGAAGAAAAGAAAGTAAAAAGGCTTGGAAAAGCAGCAGAATATTTGAACTGCAAACTTTTGAACTAACTTGATGGCGAATGATCTGTCGCCATGCCAACTGCATTTGATGACATCCCATAATACGCTTAGATGCATTGATGGCTGCATCGTTACTAAACCTGTGAAGTTTTGGGCCGTTTGGAGCATTTTCAATGAAGTTAGGAGAAAACCGTGTTTCAGGGTGAGCATTAACGGCAATTGAAGAAATCTCAAAACTGTCCCGTAGATGTCTTCACGGCTGGACTGTTAGCACACGTGAGTTATAGCGACATCGTCTTTTATGGCGAGGGATGCGTTTCCATGGAAACGGCATATGAGGACACCCCATAATTGACGTAGAGCTGTTGAGGGCTGGACCGTTAACCATTATCTGAAGTCTGGTGCTGTTTTGACCCTTTTCATAGGCGTTACGACAACATCGTGTTTTATGGCGAGGGAAACGGCATATGGTGAGATGTCAGATTTGACGTAGAGCTGTTGAGGCATGGAGAGGTGATATACAGGTGAAGATTGTGGGACGACCGGACCGTGTCCATTGGAGCTACAGTGACATCGTGTTTTATGCCGAGGGATGCGTTTCCATGGCAACAGCCTATGGTTAGATCTCAGATTTGGCGTAAAGCTGTTGAGGCATGGACCGGTGATATACAAGCGAAGTTTGGGCAATCGGACCGTGTCCATTGGAGTTACAGCAACATTGTGTTTTATGGCGAGGGATGCGTTTCCATGGAAACGGCAGATGATGACACCCCATAATTGATGTAGAGCTGTTGAGGGCAGGACCATTAACCATTATCTGAAGTCTGCTGCTCTGAGCATGTCTGTTGGAGTTATGACATCATCGTGTTCCATGACACAGGTGTTTATATTTGAGCTAACGACGTGTCCAGAGATCAAAGGTTTCCATGGTGATGTTCCATCAGTGAGAGGAGAGCGTTTTCATTGTTCTGAATGAGAGATAAACCTCTTATATGTGAACGCGTTGTTGAAGAACCGTAACAGATATCGGTGAAATTTCAAAGCATGAAGCATGTCAAGGAACTTGAGCATCTGAAGTGTGCTTTTTGTGTACTTTCGGGTCAATAATGTGGCCTTTTTGGCAGATTAACTAAAGGTGTGCGGCTGCTGTGGTGGCGAAAGATGAGGCTGAATTTACAATGGGGTTTAATGGAGACATGTTGAACGTTTTTGTCAAGAGGCATTTTATTTAATTATTTTTTGCTTATTTTTATTTAATTTTTCAAGCTACGAGATGTTTTCCTATGTTTCTCATGAAAAATTATGTCTCAGGAATGTAGGGTTTGGAAATTATGGCAGGTTTAAAAGAAAATATGAAGGCAAAATGAAATCTGTCCTCCACTCTAGCTGTGACATCACGCACTCTAAAATCTGAAGAAGGCCTCTTTACCAAGGTCTCTGAACAATGTTTAATATCTCTAAAAGTGAGAATCAGATTTAAAAGTTGTGTTACACGAATAATGTCAGAAAGATGTGTAACATTTTAAAGTTGGAATGAGGTTTCTGAGTGAAACAGTATGAAGGAGCAGTTAGCTGTTGAAGTTGCATGAAGATTGTTCAAGTCTGAAGATTTTCTCCATTGACTTCCATGTTAAAAATGTGATGAATTATGGGATGTATCTCTGGAATTATGAAAGTTATGAATAAGAAAAGTAGGCTAATAGCAATTGATTCCCGACCGAGCTGAACGTTTTGATGTTTGAACGGAGTTTCTGCGATGTGGAATGTGGGAGAAGAAGAGGTACAAAATAACCCGGCGGAATAATAAAGAATTTCGTGCGTCGAAGAACAGATAGTTGGAATGCTGTATCAGCATTCCCACTAAATAAGGCAAAAACTAGTCAGCTGACTTTTATTTTGAAACGTGTGTCGTGACCCGGATGTAAATAATCTTCACGTGTTGGTGCGTGTAAAAATGTCTACCGACGTCGCAGCGAAAAGACCCAAAATGGAGCCCTCTTTGGTACTTTCAAACTATTATATTACATGAAAGTATCACTTTAATTTTCTCCATATTACTTATAATGTGTTGGTTATTTTTTACAGCCTGAGGACAAGGTGGACTGGAAGAAAAAGAAAGCAGATGGTGAGTACAGCTAGCTAGTTAGCTACATGCTAAAGCAGTTTAGTTTGATACACATGTTCAATTATAGTTCAACTGTTTCATCGCTATTAAGTTAAATTATGTTTTAAAGTTGTTGTTATTTTAGAAAAAAAATGGTCTACCTAACGTTACAATAAATAATTACGTATGATGTTTTACCATGTGTTTAGCCACTCCATTTATATATTGGATTTATTGTTGGTAATTAATACTTTTAGGCATTGGTAATGTAACTCTGCACTTTTATTCAAGTAGGCCTACTGTACTTTTGTACAGTTTTGAGGTATTTATTCTTTATTTGACAATATGTTTTATATACTTCTACACCACTACATTTGTTTTTTGTTTGGCTATTGTTCACTATCTATATAATTGTTAAGTTATAAATGAGTTACTGTAATACATTATCATTTAATAATTGACCCAACAGTAAGCATCAATAAAAGCAATAATACTTTCATATGTTTTCTGGAACAAATGTTTCTGCGTAATGAATATTTTTACCTTTTGTATTTTAAATCTATTAAATAAGCACTTTTACCTCAGTAAGATTTTAATTCAGGACTAGTAACAGAGTATCTTCACACTCTGGTATTGTTCCTTTTACAAATATAATGGATCTGTATATGAATACTTCTTCCACTTCTGCTTTTTAGAGAGTAATAGTAGAAGTAGTCAACTCAGATTCAGTCACGAGTAGATTGACATCTTCTCCGTACTCACTTCAAATTGCCACAAACCAAAAAACCCTTACACTCTCCATTCAGATATCCCCAGTCTGTCTACATGTGTTCATCGCTTACCAATATCATTCATTCTTCTTTAAAAACAGTAAAGGAGTCCAAGAAGCAAAGGAAAGAGGCCAAGCTGATCAAACAGTTGGATAAGCAGATAGAGCTCGAGTCTGCAGAGAAGGCAAAACATGAACAGAGCCAAGACAATAAAGGTAACCTTGTTATCACTTTTGATATTGTTATTCTACCTGTGAAAGGCTGCGTGCTGTAATGTGTGGTCTGTGTCCCTCAGGTCGGGCGTACACGGTGAGTGTGGCTCTGCCCGGCTCTGTGCTGGATAACGCTCAGTCCACGGAGCTCCGGACCTACCTGGCGGGACAGATCGCCAGAGCCTGTGTCGTGTTCTGTGTCGACGAGATCGTTGTGTTCGATGAATACGGAGAAGATGTCAAGTAAGTTAAATCAACAGGTACAATATATCTGTGAACAACAAGCTGTAGAAATAAAAAAATCATAATTTGATGCAATAGTGCTAAAAAATACCGTTTCCCATTAACCTACATTAGGAAAGACATGTTGTAAATCAGCATATCATTTTTGAAGTAAAGCAACTAGTCAGTAGTACACGCACCATTCACTGCTTCTTATTCTTTTTACCATGGACGTGTACCGATTGGATCTCATGGTTATGAACGTGTGCTTGCCCCTTTATTCTATAACACATAGGTGTGAGCAAGCTCTCTGATTGGTCAATAGGCGTGTTTGATTCCACGATCAAAGAACGGTCAAATAGAACGTGCCTTTTCACAACAAGTCAGTATCCCTCCGCGTCTGAGAAAAACTGTATACTCTTGGTCTGAAAAGCAAACTGCTTGCAGTTTGCTTTTCGAACTGGAACAAGAAAGCAGCGGAGAAGTAACGGGGCAGAAACCCTCCTTTTTACATTACGAAACAAACTTCCAAACATAATATGGAAACATTTAAGATTAACTTCAACCTCCGGGGGGGTCTTACTGTGGAGGACTGGATTGAGGAGTGCCTAGAAAAAAAAGCACCTAAACGACAACATGCAGAGCTACGTGAAGAGCAGGTAGACCAACTGGAAAAGTACCACAATTCAAAAGCTAACTGCAAACTGGAACAAGAAAGCAGCGGAGAAGTAGTGGTTTCCATAGCGACACACAGCCGTTACATTGTTACATTGTCTCTCG